TTTGTCTCGGTCAAGAGGGCCCTGACTCTATTTCTCTTGGGCATTTCTTCTTCAGCAGTCAGTGGGATTAGGTTAATTTGTGGCAAGGTTGGGTCCGGTTCGGGGGCGTCCTCCAACAAAAAGTCAGTTACTCTGACTTTTCGGCGGCCGCTGTATCTGTATGTCGGTTCGAAATTTAGAAGTTTGGCCCAACTTCTTTCTGGAAAACGTAGTGCGGCGCGGATAATGTTCAAGTTGGGGTAACTGTACAAGGATTGAAGATGGGCTGAATTTGCATAAAGAAGACAAACTGTTAGTTCGGATCAGGAATGGGTAACCGAAATAAGCAAAGCATGCCAACAGACCGAAGTAATTATACCAGGTGCTCCTTTATTCCAGTTTATACTTCGGCCAGGGATCTGGGCTTGCTGGTCTTCAAAATTGCCAGACACCCAGAAAAAGTCATCATCATTTAAGTCTTTGTCCGGTGTGTCTTTTATTATTTTTTCTCTTCGGCGGCGTATTCTAAGATAGTAAACCCAGCCGTCTTCTTTTGACCCTATAGAGTACTGGTGGAAGATTTCAGCTAAGCCAAGGTTAATGCCAGCTCGGCGGTTTAGCTCGGCTATGCCCATTATTATGCGGTATGAGTTGGTGGAAAGCTGGGTTGGGCATATTCTCGTTTACCTAAGGAATTCACAAATTAAGAGTTGGACTGGAAATCTTAGTCCGGTTTCTATTATTGATAAAAGAGTAAAGGGTACAAAGCCCTGGTTTCCCCAAGGTATAGCATCTTTTTTGGCTAAGGTTAGGTGGACATCGTCAGAGATGTTATAATCCCTTCGGAATTCGGCCAAGCCACCTGGTGTTTCTACTAAAAACCTATATTTACCCATTTATTCCTAATTTATGTATAAATTATGCTTGGTGCTAGCTCGGTCGGAAAATGTTGCTGTGTAGCTCGGTTGAGCGATCAAAAGGAGTGCCTGGGCAACCTAAGTCTGCAAAGTGAAAAACATAAGTGTTAAGCACAGATCTTTAGACCGTGCTACAAAGTAAAAACAAGTTAAGTCCTACTTCGACTTTGTGAAATGTTGCAGGTCCTATCTCGGTTTCAACAAGGTGCTTGGTAGCTCGGTTGGGGCAAGTGATTTGTTAGACCAGTTGAAATTCTAGGGGCAGCTTTCTTAGTTCGGTCTGAACTAAGCGTGTTGGTTTAGCCCTAAGATAGTTTGGTCGGAATTGAGGCCTTCAAACACACTAAGTGCAGACTTAGTTCGGTTTGTTATCTTGGCTAAGATAAATCAAAAGATGGTTTTTTTTTCTTGTTAAAACTACTGGTACAAGTGTTGGTTCGGTTGAATGGTCTGGCTAGACTTACACATAACATAAACAGTATCCTAGTTTGGTTGAGATGTGTTTATGGATCAAACAGAGTGTTCTACAGATTACTTCATAATGTTCATGGGGTTCTCATGAAGTTTTTTCCCAAAAAACGTAAGGCAAAAAAAAACAAAAACAGTGTTTTGTAAAAACATATGAACAGATTGTTGTGGATTGTATAAAGCAAATACGAAAACAACAAAAGCAAGAAAGATGGATTTGAGTGACTTACCAGATGAAAGGGTAAAAGCACTGAAGATGAAGCAATGGCAGTGAAGAACACGAGCTCCTTAGTTACAAGAAGGAATGCGAGAAAGAGAGAGAGAAGAGGTAAGTAGGAAGATGTAATGATTTGAAAGGAAAAACGAAAAAATTTGTTTTTGTGGTTAATGGCGGGAACTGTTCAAATTTTGCGAAGTACGAGGGCGGCGTGACAGTTGCAAAGGGCCAATCAGAGCCTGCCACGTGTCACTAGAATGGGAAGCGATTCAGTTTCTGTGACTGAAGAGACGTTTTGGCCGGATAATGATAAGCTCGGCTAAAATGTAGCTCAGCTAAAAAGGCTTGAGAGTTTTTAGCTCGGCTGGAAAGGCTAAAGGGTTTTTTAGCTCGGCTGGAAAGGTTAAAACTTTAGCCCGGTTTATAGACAGGTAATCCCTATCCTGCTACGCAGATGGAATTAAGGGGCAATTGATAGGGAAATTTATATGTAAATTGGGCCGAGTTGGGCCGTTGTGGGACTCAGTGCGAAGGGTTGAGTAAAAATGCCATAAAGTTACTACAGTCCCAAAGAGGTTAGCTTGGTCACCATACTAAAACTTGTACCGGTTGTCGCGGTATGGTTAGTTCGGTCGCTACAGTTAGTTTGGTCATGGCATAGGGAACCGAAGTATACTGAGCCCTCTTCAGGACTTAGTTTTGGGTTAGTTCGGCTTAAACTCTTCTATGGATAGCTCAGTCTTGGCATGTGAAGCCGAGGTTGGAGAAAAGCAAGGAAGAACCGAACTAACAGTTAGATCGGTCACTCCAGTTAGTCTAGCATGGCAATGTTATTTCGGTTGTATGGTAGTCCGGCCATGGTAAAACCATCTCACTTGGTTTAAGCAGTGAGGGGGGTGTTGAAGGATAAGCATTATCCTTCAAGAGTATGAATCCTAGGAGGACTCTACATGGAGAAGTAAAAGTCCTACTTGGATTATGCCACATGAAACCTATAAAAGCTCACAAATATCACATTTGGAGAGGTAACACATACTTTGATTCCTGAATACACGGAGCTTTTGTCTACTTGTCTATTTTTCTGACTTAGGCATCGGAGAGGTTTCCGGCAGACACCTGCCGGCTAGCTCACGTTTATATTTTCAGGGAGTAAAGCGACGACGTTTGGAGGAACGCGAACTTGATTAACAGGATTATACAAGAAGGTTTATTCTTTAAATATATATATATATATATATTATTTTTATAATTCTAAGATACAAACATAACATAATCTTTAAAAAAAAAAAATACATTAGAGATATGAAAGATATTACAAACAAAATGAGACTGACTTCTAATACAAATTATAAGTCAAACGAGTTACATATGATAGATCTAATATATTGTATTATATTGTTATGTATAAAATTCTAACTTTGATTCAAGCTTATCCTTAGGACATGAATTCGGTGACGCAGGTGCATTAATGCATCAAATGTGCTGTGCCACCCAAATTTCTAGCCCAGCACCTAAGGGATCAAAGTATTTTAATTAATAATTATTCATTTTTATTAGTCAATTTTTCATTTTCATTTTCATGTATATTTATATGACAACTCTTTATTTAATTTGAAATTTTAGACAACTTTTTTTTATGATAAAAATAATAATAATAACATCCAAGATTATATATTTTTTTTATTTTTTATTTTTTAGTGACAAAAGAAAGAACGGAATGGAGCAAATAATGAATACTGTACTTTTTTACCCTTCAATGGTTGGCCCAATGTATGTAGTATGCAATATTAACAAATGACAATTTACCTAGTTATTCCAAAAAGGTTAACTTCTTCTCAAATTAGTATAACCCAAATACACTCCCAAGTTTTATGATCATGTGAAAGTCATAAAATAAGTGGATGTGGATACATGATATTATAATTGAGAGTCTATTGGGACATTTAGAAAGTCTGTTGGAGTAGTTCAAAATTATTATTATTTTGTTTTTAGGATCTAGCATTATTCCAATTCACTAACTTAACCATACAATTTGGGCTACAAAATGTTTTTTTTTTTTGGGCACTTTTAAAGGGGCAAATTGAACCGAGCATTGTCCTCTATCATTTTCTTGTAATGACACACAAACTGAGAGGGGAGATTTGTGCGTTAGTACGGCCGAGCTACGATAACGCCGATCATGACGAACCGCACGCCGCCGAGCAGACTCCTCTCTGGCTTGGCCCAGCAGCCTGACTTGCACGGCCGGAGAGGTCGACCGGCCAGACACGAACCAATGCCTGGTTGAGCTATAACGCGGCCGAGCGCGCAGCAGTGTCTGATGACCAAGCTAAGAGCAACCCGGGCTAGGCTATGGACGCGGTTAGGGCCGGCACGCTTCTGACCGACCAGCCGGGATGAGTGGGCTTCGTTTGACCGAGAGTAAAGGTAGGACGGGTGGAGGCCGGCATACCTCACAACCGGTTAGCCTAATGAACCGGTCAATATCAGCTCGGCCATGAGTATCGCCCTTCGGCCCCTTCGCAAGGGATAGTCCGGCGATGCATAGCTTGGTTGTGTGCATGTGATGGCAACTCTCCACAAATGATAGGCCGGTCGTGGTATTCTGGTCAAGTGTGCCACCTGGGCCAATGGCGTGAGGGGTAGAAGAAATCTGCTCCAAGCATGCGCCAATACCGTTGGATAGTTCTGCGTGTACTGGTGGGAGGACTAAGCCTTTACACGAGTAAGGTGGTGAGAGGCGAGCATTGCCACCTGTTCTGGGAAGGACGGCAGAGGTAGTGCGCGCATAATCTTGAGGCTGCATGGCCAGCCTTGAAATATGGAGGAGGACGAACGTTAGAGGTATGCAACTTCTTCCCCAAAGAGAATACTCTCTCTCTATCAGTCTTCTTCTTCCTCAAGTGGACTGACTTGATCATCGGAGGGTCTATTCGGCACACCACCGCCGGGCAGCTCATCGTTTCTGTGTTGCCAGGTAGACGCCGTCAAGAGAAGCTTGGAGTACAAGGAGTACGAAAAGCAGAAGATATTTCGCCCCGTACATAAACCAACCGTCTAGATTTGAAATTGAAACGAAATAACATTAAAAATGATCATTTTTATTTTAAAATTCCGATTCTAAAACAACATTGCTTTATTTGACTTTAAATTTAGATAATTGAATTATCATAACGAAAGAATTACAGGAGGATCCGGACAAAAGAGCTGTTCAAGTCTTTTTAACGGGCTATAAGAAATCAATGCAACGCTTTGACCCTTTATTTTCTTCTATTTTTTTGATTTTATTTTTCATTAAAAGTTTTAACCCAACCACGTAACACATTAATTAGTAATACTGTTTCGCCACATCATAATATCTACTTGTCAAAATGACAGTAACACAGAAAATTAATCTCGAAATTCTGAAGAATTAACACTAGAAAATTCCAAACTAATGTAATTTGCTCGTATATTATTCATCATGAAACCAGAAAGAAATAAATGAATGAACGAACTAGTAATGTAGTTCTTTATAAACCTTTACAGTGGGTATTTTACATCTCAACTAAAATCTATCTCCAGCTTCTAATTTTTTATCACTTTAAAGTGGAACAAGAGGACGTAGCAGGATCATACAAAGCAGGAAGCAAGTACTTCCTCCCATTAGCACCATTCGCATTGTAACTAGCACCCGTTGTGGGGTCCACCAAGAGGTCCCCAGGGTAACCCGGGTAGGCCCCCTTGCCATAAACACCAGGACAAGCCGAGGCAGCTTCGAGCGGTGCACCTGCCGAACCCTGGTAGTACCCATTTCCAAATGGGTTCGTGACTGTCCCAGCCAAGAGGCTAGCCAGGTTGATGAGCATTCCATCTAGGCCCACATCGTTGTTGGGTGCTACCAGGGGTGGAGTCTGTGGTCCGTACATGGGCTGGTGGAATGGCCAGGCGCATTGACCCGGGCACTGAGTCACCGAGTTTCCGACCCAGATGTAGGGGAACTTGTAATTCCTGCCCTTAATCTGGGAAGTTTTGGCAGACCCATGGGTCCCACACCGACTCATACAGAACCCATCGACGGTGACATCGGAGGCAGTCAAAACAACGTTGACGGTGTGGATTTGATCGGCCTTGGATGCCAGCTGTTTGATCTGTTTCTCTGTGAGCGACTTTCCGAGCGAGCAGTTCTCATCGAGTATTTGTTTGCCCAAAGAGAGTGAAAGAGAGGAGGGTTTCTTGGAGTTAGCGAGGTGGTAGTAGTTTTGGGTAGTCTTCCACCAGGTGGCAACCGATGGTTGGGTTTGAGGTGGCGAAAAAGACAGGGATGTGACGAAATCAGAGATTAAGGCTCGTTGGGTGGGATTGAATTTGCCGTACCAAATGAGATTGATTGAGATTTTGCCAGACAGAAGAGGGCCGTGGTGGTATTGAAGGAGATTAGTCTGATCTTGAACCAGCTCAGTGAGCTTTCTTGAGGCAAAGGAGACATGGAAGAGAGAGACAACAAAGACAAGTTGTAGAATGAAATGGGTTGATACAAGAGAAGCCATTTTTAACCTTTGTGTTTGTTTGTTTGTTTGTTTTTTCTTTTTCGGAGAGAGAGAGAAGCTGAGATGGTTTGAGTTTGTTAGTGATCTTGAGAGGTGTAGAGTTGGTGGTATTTATATAGGGACTTTATGAACCATTCTATAGAATTTTGAAGGATGTGTGTAGTAATGGAACACGGGAAGCGAACCTGCTGAGAAAGACCCACAAAAGCTGTCTCTGCGCGGACTAATTTAGTTTGAGTTTTTTAGATTAAGTTTTTTAAAAATTTAGGTGTTGTTTAATTTGTGTTTTTCAAAAAATTTTGAGAAAAATTTTCTACAAATAAGTTTTTAAAAGTAATCAAACCAAACAAATTTTTTTAAAATTTTTTTTCAAAACTCGTTTGGTTTATCAATTTTTCAAACAAATCTCTCTCTCATACATATCAAATCAATCACTTTTTTCAAAACTTTCTCTCAAAATAATTTTTCAAAACATATTTTGAAAAAAAATTAAACCAAACAAATTTTCGTACTTTTTATCTCAAAACATGTTTCTCAAATACAACCCAAACAAGGCCTTAGTTTTTTGATTTTTGTGTTATTTTGTTTTTAGTGAATATTTTTAAATTTTTTTTTAAAAAAATTACTAATGTATCTAAAAAGTAAGAAAATTGTAAAAAAATATTTTAAAAAATTAATAAATAAATAAAAATATAAAAATATACTGAATTCTCGTATTTTTTTTTGTATTTTTGGTATTTTGTGAATTTCTAAAAGTTTTTTTTTCATAAATTTTTTACCTTTTAGGTGTATTTATATTAGGTATGTCTAAAAAGTAAAAAAATTGCTTAAAATATTAAAAAAATTCAGTAAAAATAAAAAAATACGAAAAATAAGAAAGTAAAATTTTTTAAATTTTTTTTTAAAAAAACTCTAACCAAGCATGCTGATTATTCAATAGTTTTTTTTTTTTTTTTTTTTTTTTTGGGGAATTTTTATTTTTTTTACCTTCTAAAAGGATAAAACATATGAAAATAATGATTTTTTTAATTTATTATAGAAAAAAAAAGAGTAATTTTTAGTTTTTTTTTTAAAATATTTTTTTTAAATGCATAAAAAATAGAGATATGTCGTGATTTAAATAAGTTAATAAGTTGACAAATTGACTTTTTTTGGCTAATTGCCAAAATAGGCCTATATGTTAGTAGTAAATTTTTTAGTCAATCAGAAAAGTATTAATTATAAATATGACAATAATTACACCAAATTGGATAATCATTATTCAGCAACAAATATTTACAAGCTCAAAAAAAATATCAAATTTTAATGGCAAAATTTATTTTGCTCCGTCGTGATTAGATATAATTAGAAAATTCTAATGTGATTTTGAACTAAATTTCACTGTTAGTTCTTTTATCAAAACTGACAGAAAGTATAGCACACACATTCTTTTTTAGAAGTGGACTTGATTTTCTGAAAACATAAATTGAAATCAAAACAACAAAAAGATATTTTTTTCCTGTCTTTTTCAAACCTAAAATTAGATTAAGACATTAATTAAAATTAAATTAAAATATGCAATTAGGGATTGATTTAAATTATAATTAAATTAAAATATAAAATAAATAATAGAATTAAATTAATTTAAATATAGTTAAGGATTGATCTAAAATATCAAACATAATTAAGTATTGATTTAAATGAGAATTAGATTTAAAAAATTAGGAATTACAATAAATAATTAGGAATTTATGATTAATTGTGATTTAATTGAATTAATGTTAAAAATTATAAATTATGTGTATGAGAGAAAGAAAATAACAAAAAATGATAGAGAGTTTGGGAATATTACAATCATTTCATACCTATAATTAATAGAGTTAACGATTGCATTTTTATTCAAAATCATATGAGAAATGTCTAGTTACACTTAAACTATAAGGGGTAAAGTGTTTTGACATCAAAACACAAGATAGTAAAATGAAATTTTCCCCAAATTTAAGAGTTTGTTTGGTTTGTTTCTCATTAAAAAAAAAAAAAAGTTGAAATTTTTTTTTGAAAAAATGGAAACTCTAAGATAAAAATAAATATCAAAAAAATATTTTTAAATTTTTAAAAATTATTTCTACTCTCTCAAAAGATAAAATTATATAAAAAATGATAAGCATTTTTAATTTTTTTTATTTCTTTTGCCAAATTATTTTTTAATTTAAAAAAAAAATTGAAAACAACTTTATGAAAATCAAATCTAATATGGCCTAAGTATAATATTTCTATGTAGACAAATGAAACTGAAATAATAAAAATAAATTACTTATAGAAATATTCTTGTATCAGAAATTAGAACAACAACCTTTGATCAAGTCAAGTGTATTGTGACACTCTGTCCTTAAGCCAAATTCGCCACCGCACAAGTGCTCACGGGTTATTGACATTTATCTCCCACGATATAATGATCAGAAAACACATATTGTAATAGCACTACAAACAATCTGCCAGGCGATTCAAACCTGTGTTCTACAACTCTTTGAAAATTCTATAAACTAGTATGAAGAATAAATGTAAGAAAGAAGAAAACAAAAAGCAAATGAATGAGAGAATCTACTAGAAAAGGTCATCTATTTATAGGCACAAAGGTATCTGTTCAGATGGGAGAAAAACCCTTCAAACATGTGTGAAATCGTGAATTGCCGGAAAAAGGAAGAGAGATGATTGGAGAAGGCACTAGTTCGGAGCAAAATTTGAATTCAAATTTTTGGCGCAAAATTTGAATTAATTCAGTTAGAAATTCAAATTTTCCCGCAATAATTTATAAAAATTCAAACGAATCTTTTCATCCAACCCACAACCCCGCTCAGCCGAACGAACGACAGTGCGCGCACATGTGTGGAGGATTTGGGTTAAGCCTACTTTGTCCATAACTCCTCTCCTTGCAAAATTTGGAGTGTCCCTTGGGGACCTAGAGCTTATATACTCATACAAGCACACTTAAAGTTTCAATGTGGGACAACTAAAATAAGGAAACTCACATTTGACTCTTCAACTTCCCATTTCATAAACCCAAAAACGACGTAAACTTTTCATTCACTCATAAATGGTTTTGACGGACTGTCTTCACCGTGTAACTTAGCATGCGGCAAAGAACACACTACTTCTTAGACCTACCCCAAAAGACATGCGGGCCCCACTTAAATTTGGACTCAAAGTTGGCCCAAAATAAGCTTAAAAATCTAATATTCTAACAATTCCTCACATGAATAGAATTGATGGAGAGAAAATGCAACAATATGATGTTTTTACAGAGAGTACAAAAGTCGGAGATATTCTGCAAAGGATAAGTAACTTTTAGTTTTGAACCTTCCTTTGTGCTCTGAAGTTTATCTAGATCGAAATTTTTCTGGAAAAATATTAAGAAACCCCAATCATTATGAAAATATTGCAGGTCATTTATCCTATAAAATCTTAATATTAGAAATCTTAAAAAAAATCCCAATTTTATGATACCTAGCATTGCTCGGCATATAAGTTGACCTTTATATTTATTTTGAAAAAACATACAGAAAAATAAAAAAGTAATGTGATCAAATAAGTTAATAAATTAATAAATTGATTTTTTTAAATGTTGTTAAAAAGGCCTTAGTGACATGTTTGACATGAATTTTTTTGGCTATTTAATCATAAAAAGACTCTTTTAGAAAGTGAGTTAGTAGCCAAAAGATAGTTTTTAACTTATTTTGAGTCACATTATCTCTTATATTTTTTACACATTTTTTTTTAAAAAAAAGTCAAAAAAAATAAAAAATCAGCTTTTAACTGTCTTTCCAAAATAACCCAAATATACTAAAACGTCAATAAGATATAATATTATATCTAAATCATAATAATTTTTTTTTCTTACAAAAATCAAAAAAATTAAAACATTTATATTAAACGAGACTTTTTAACACCAAATTAAAATAATTAAAAAATTAATCCATATTCCAAACAAAGGCACGTAATGAGAGTAAAGTCCACTTCATATAATTGTGTGAGCTTTAATCATTGTGAATAAACAATAGGAGAAAATAGAAGAAAAATGGGTTGACTTTTTGATTTTTTTGACTTTTTAAGTTTGGAGTTAAAAAGTCTCGTTTGGAAAAGATTTTTGACTTTTTTGACTTTTTTGTAGGAGAAAGAATGTAATGATTATGGATTTGATATAATATTTTGTCTTATTAAATTAAAAAATCTATTTTATTGTTTATGATTAAAATAATCAAAACGTATTTTATTTTTTATGATTAAAATAATTCTTAAAAAAAAGATCCAAACTTGGCTACCCAAATTAAGTGTTCGTTTGGCAATGATTTTTTTAATTGATTTTTTGACTATTTTGATTTTTTTAGCTTGAGACTTTTTTAGTCGTTTGATATTCTTATTTAATTGTTTTGACTTTTTGATTTTGGAATGGTGTATTTTATTTTTATCTTTTTACTTATTTTGTGCTTTTGTAATTTTTTAACTTTCCTTTATCTTTTTTTAATTTTTTAGTCCAAAATATTTACCAAACGACCCCTAAGCCTAAATTGAGCTTGTTTTCTATTCAGAATCTCAATTACAAGTACTCTCCGTCAGCTACTCTCCGTCAGCTGTACTGAAAATAATGTGTGCTAGCGGTATTTCAAAATTGAAAAGTTGACCATTACTTTTAGGGCAAATTACATATACACCCCTCGAGGTTTGGCTAAATTACAGATACCCCCTGAGGTTTGAGAAATTACGAATTTCTCCCTGAATGCTATATTTGCATAAGAAATTAGGGGGTAATTTGTTATGAAATATAAACCTCAGGGGGTAAATTGTTATGAAAATACAAACCGCAGGGGGCGGGATGTAATTTCCGAAACCTCAGGGGGGTATCTGTAATTTAACCAAACCTGGAGAGGTGTATATGTAATTTGCCCATATATTATATATATATATATATATATTAGTTTAAAAAGACTCGTGCAAGCTCACCATTACTTTTGAGAGAGAGAGAGGGAGAGAGAGAAGCAAAGGGACTTTTTTTTTTTTTGAACAGAGAAGCAACGGCACTCTGAAACGCGTCTTTGTGAAGTTGAGGAA